AAATTTTCTATGGTGAATGGATCCACTGACTTTCCTTTTGAAAAATCCAGTGTGGATAGCTTTGAGAAGGTCTCAGATGGAGTGAAAGCTGTTAAGAAAGTTGAAGAGTCCTATAACCAAGTGGCTGTGTTTGACCAGCTTGTTGGGGAGACAACCTTGTTGAGAGAGGAATGTCTCCATGCTGATTCTGGAGTGAACAGTCTGTGTCTCAGGTTTGGAGGGAAGACTGGGTAGCTGAGTCTGCAAGGCAGAACAGCTGTGTAGTTAATCTCTCGAGGATGCAGGGGATAGCAGGTATACTCTCATCTCTAGACACTTTGGATATGACTTGTATTCTCTCAGTGAACTTAACATCTGATTCCATGTGGAAGCCAAGGTTGGTAAGGGAAGGACCACAGAACTTTGAGTCTAGCTTGTTAGTGAAAATGGATGGTATCTCTTTAAGACAGAGTCCAGCCTTGGAATTGATAGCAGTTAAGGATATGAAAACTGGTGAACTGGCTCCTGTCTGTGGTAATGCAAATTACTTGGCTGGCAGGGAGAAGACGGACTTGCTAATAGCTATTAGCACAGAGAGCACACCCAATCAGCCAGTGAATTCTGTTAAACTAGAGAAATCAGGGTTTGATCCTTCAGGACAGGAAGGAAAGAGAGACCTTAATTTTGCAAAGGGAAGCCACAGGCTAACCCTGAAAGGACCAAACCCCAATAGTATTGAGCCAAAGGTGTGGAATAACAAACATGAATGTAGATGGACACTTGCAATGAATTTGTTGTTATTGCTCATGGTAATTTTGGTAACTAATATGTTGCTATTACCAAAAACTGTAAAAATGTACAAAGTGCCTAATCTTTTGGAAAATCCCTTGAACATGTTAAAAGGAATACATGAGAATGCACTTTGTGTTAAGAGGCCTTGTTATACTGATGTTGCACAGTTAAGGGCTGTAAACAGTATTGGAACTTTTCACAGGGCAAAAGACATTCCAGACCTGATGTGCTGTATAAAAAGGGAAACGGAGGCACACTACCACATTGCTTTCATGGCTAAATGCCAAGATTCCTGTACTATAAACAACAGTAATATCTACATTAAGTTGATGTTAATTGGGTTCCAAACATTTGCCAGAGCTTGCATGGATAAAGTAGTTATGTTCCTTAGCTCTTGGCAAGATCACATGAGACATACAGGAACCAGGCTGCAAAAGCAGTTCCAATCCACTATTGTTCTAACCAAGTTTACCTTGAGTTTGTAAAGAGATTCAATCATGTTATTGAACATGACTTTGATAAACCGTTTCCGTTATACACCAATACTTGCTGTAGTAAGACAGAACCGAGGAGGGAAGCTCTTGGGATGCAGTCATTGACGTTTGTGTCATCCCTTCCTGCATCAATTCTGTGTTGGGGGTGTGACGTTATTGATATAATCTGGGACTGTATAGATCATTGTTGCAACCAAAGTCCTGCAGTGGCACCAAATCTTATATAAAAGGGATCAAATGAGGTTTCAAGTGCTGTCCCTGCCCATGAAACCCCCTGATAGGTTTGTGCTGTCCTCGGCTCAAGTGTGGTTTTCTCTCCCCTGTTGCTGTGTGAGAGACCCACACAGATCTCAGGGAAACCACTGACACTAGCCCTATACATGGCTGCCCAGAGCTCTGCTGACTAGAGTATGGTTCCACACAGGCCTGAAATCAGTATGGTGTCCTGTGGACATGGAGCCGTTTGGGAGGACTAGCTGGCAGAATTGGGGCCTTCCTTTAGTACACAGGAGAAACAGTGCAAGAGAGCAAGTGGTCAAATGCTATTGGCTTTGGGCATCTTTGGGACTACTTGTAGCAATACTAGGTGTACAGTAATACAGACAGAAATGGGTAGGGGGAGCGCATCCCTTTAAAGCCCCTCCTAAGGCGGAGTACCTCGATACAGGCTATTTCTTGCATCCAGAACAGAAAGCCCTAGTTTGTGAAGAGCCCTAGGAAATGCCAGGGGATGCTCTGTGTATGGTTTATGAGTAAATCTGCAGGAGCTGTATCCGTGTAAATGCTGCTGGTGGGATACCACACAAATGAAAATGTTTTCATAGAATCATAGAATATCAGGGTTGGAAGGGACCTCAGCATGTCATCTAGTCCAACCCCCTGCTCAAAGCAGGACCAATCCCCAACTAAATCATCCCAGCCAGGGCTTTGTCAAGCCTGACCTTAAAAACCTCTAAGGAAGGAGATTCCACCACCTCCCTAGGTAACCCATTCCAGTGCTTCACCACCCTCCTAGTGAAAAAGTTTTTCCTAATATCCAAACTAAACCTCCCACACTGCAACTTGAGACCATTATTCCTTGTACTGTCATCTGCTACCACTGAGAACAGTCCTCTTTGACTCAGATCCATCCTCTTTGGAACCCCCTTTCAGGTAGTTGAAAGCAGTTATCATGCAGATATCCCAGGAATCCCCACTGAAGCCTGGATAATATAAAGCATCCAGGAGGCTGCAGAGAAAATATACGTGGACACAGAGAGAGAAGAGAAATGGGCAAGAATTAACCAGCTTTAACTTGGAAAAAAAATCTAAGTGGGCCCCAAGCTCCCAAGCGCTCACACAGCTGAGGAACCCTGCTGAGTTCAGCAGCATTGCTCATATGAGTTAAGTAAAGCACTTGAGTTTTGCAGGATGAGGGTCTAGGGCCTTTTGGCGGATGGGGGGAAAGCACAAATCTACAAAGCAGGGAGGAGATGCTGAGGCGTGACAGTGGATAGCATCCATTGTATCGCCATGCTGGTGCAAGTCTGATCCTCCTTCTGTTGGAGCTGATTAGAGTTTTGCCAGTCACTTCCTGGGGCCCATAGGCTGTATCCCTGTGGGCCATATCTTCAGCTGGTGCAAATCAGCATAACTCCATGGAAGTCAGTGGTGCTATGCTAATTTTCACCAGCTGGGTATCTGGCCCGTAACATCCCAACCCAGAGAGGTAACGGGTTAGTTCAAGCACCTTTGGAATTCTGCGTGTAGCAGTTTTGGGTGCCCCATTTCAAGGAAGATAGTGACAAACGGGAGTCAATTCAGAGAGAGGCAACAAAAGCGATTGCAGGTTCAGAAGGACTGGCCTATGTCTGGGAAAAGGCGACATGAATGAAATCTTTGTATAGTACAGTGCAGGACCCTGAAGGGGTGCAAGAACTGTGCAGTATTAAAGGATGGGAACATGACAGAGAGGGATGATTGAATAGAGTAGCTCAGGGAGGAGTGACAAAATAATGGGATCAAACTTCACAAACAAAAATTTAGGCTAGACATCAGTAAAAATTTCCTAACAATAAGGGCAATTAAACCATGGAATAATCTTCTCAGGGAAATGCTGGAAGCCCCTTCGCTGGAGCTGCTCATACTTGGTCTAGATTAGACAAGTCACTCGGGAATGTTCTGCAGGGAGCAGTTCTGCATTGGCAGGGGGCTGGGGTGGATGATCTAACAGGTTGTCTTTCATCTCTGCATTTTATGATTCTATGAATTTTAGCTCCATTAGAAATGCAGAAGAGAAAAGATCCTGGGCAGATCATGGGACACAGTTAAGAATCAAAATGGGCATCCGACACAATGGAAAGGGAAAAAGAGAACACATGTAAACAGCTGACGATGTCCTTTAAATCCTTCCTGGCTAAACGCTATGGGCTGCTGTCCGTCCCTTTGCCTAGAGCCCTGGTTAAAAGGCACAATTCCTGCCCCCTTCTCCCTGGTTCCTAGAAGGGGACTGTCCCAGGCCAGATTGCTACCCCCATGTGCCAGCATTGCTGTGCTTGCAGGCATGTCGGCAGTGGAGCTCAGCCCTGCTCATCTGCTTGCTCCTGCAGTGGATATGGGGGGGCATGCCTCTGTTCAAGTGCATCTGCAAGGCCAGGCTGCTGTCCAGTCCTATCGTGGGGAATTCACCCCTTTGTGCCAGCACAAGTGTCACGCCCCCCTGCAGTAGGAGGCTGCCCCCTCCAGGCACAGAGCTGGAATAGCTGTCCTGCATGATGCCCTGAAGGAGCCTCCAGTCCAGGAGGTGTGCTGAGGGCATGGCTGGGACATTGCTAAACCCAGCCATTCCCAGCTGCTGGGGGGACACTATAGCCAGGACCCAAGAGAGGCTGGCCTGTGAGGCTGCTTGGACACAGGCTGGGGGCTAACTAGCCCCAGCAGTCCAAGGATCAAGGGCACACATTGAGCTCAGTACAGGCACGGGGTGAATCCCCCTGTGGGCCTGATTCTCCTCTGACTAACAACTACATGGATGGGAAATCAGCCTGTGGAAACAAGTGGTCCTCACTATGAACTCACACTGCTTTCACTCCACTGCAGCACTACACAGTCCCTCGCAATGCACAGCACTGGGGGTGGGATGGGAGCCAGGCCTTGCTGTAGCTGCATTGCAAGGCACATAGAAACGTGTCAGGAAGGCAGGGAGGGGAGTTGCACACCGTGGGAGCGCAGGAGCTGGGCAGAGCAAGGCAGGGATTTGAAACCTGCTGGCCCACGTGTATTCCGTGCCCCTCTGTGTCTGATGTATGGAGGATGCCAGTCCGTCACAGTCCCAGTTCTGGAGCAGCTCTCCTGTTTAGCTCTGGAGGTCTCTGGTTCAGGCCCTGGCCAAGGTGGTGGTTGTCACTTGGGCCTTCTGCAGTGCACCCTAGCTGTAAAGCAAAACACTGGTCCCTTGAGCAGCATGGGCACTGTCTGTCACCAGTGCTGACCTGGCTTAGGGAGGAGGCAGCCGCCCTTTGGCATCATCCACTGGCTTACAGAGCCTTGTCCTGCAAACCAGCACGCTCCTCCCCATGGTCCTTATGCTCTGGGCTCCGTGGGACCAGCTGACAGTGAGTGCGTTACACTTGGGTGTTAGCTGGTTGGAGCATGAGTGCAAGAAGTAAAGCAGCATGGTCTGCAACCAGCCTGGCACACATGGGCACGCAGACCGAGCATCACTGATGGCATTTTCCCCTCCTGGTCCCCCCACAGAACACAGTCACCAGTATCACCGGAGAGCTGCACACCTTCCAGGCTCAGTTTGAAGACGCGGTGGCTGCCCATCAGAGAGAGGCCAAGAGCTTGAATGAGCACATAAAGGAGCTGGCAAGAGAGAGAGACTCTGCAGGGAGGGAGGTATGTATGGTTGTTCTGGGTCATCTGTGCACCAGGGGTTAACTCTCTGCTTGCCAAGAGTCTGAGCAAGCCCGTCTGACAGAGGAGACAAGTCCGGCCTCACCTGCACGGGTCTTTGCCCTGAGTCCAGCCATCAGTGCAAGTGTTGCCCACAGGGGAGTGTGTTACAGGCCCCATGCCATGCCCATCCACAGAGGAGAGGAGTCTTTGCAGCAGCAGCTCTAGCCATGAAGTGTTGGCTCTTTAGCTCAAGCTGTAGCAGCTCGTGCTTTTAGCTCTGGGGGTCCTGGGGTCAGTCCCTGGTGATGGCAGTCACACAACACCAGCAGCATTCATAACAGACCCAAAACACATTGTAGCTGTGCGCTGTCATCCCATGCAAGTGCCTCAGAGCCTTCCTGCTGGGTACGCTGCTTGGGGAGCAGCTGTGAGCTTCCCACAACCATCGCTTCTATACCAGCCACGGCAGATGGCACAAGCTGGCTCAAACCCTGGTGGAGTAAGGGCCAGGTGGGAGCCCTAGACCAGTGCTGTCTGTGATCTGGGCTCTGCTCCCTGGCTAACAGCTCTGGTGAGTCAGCATCAGAGCAAGAGAATGGCCCACCACAAAAGGACGGGGGGGGGGGGGGGGAGAAAATTAAAGAACATGAAAGAGGAGAGAGAGCAATTTAACATGACAGGCTGTTTATTTTGGCAACAATGAGCTCCTTTCAACAGATTTCAAAGTCCGACCCTGGAAGGGACCACACAGGCAAGCAGGAGAAGGGAATTCAGAGCACAGGGAGGCAGAGGGATCTGAGGAAGGAGGGGGCCGCACTGGCATACAATAAGGTCTGAGGAACTGTGGCACAGAAAGAGGGACCCAGGAGCTAGTCCCAGGGAAAAAAAGGGGTGCAAAACCCAGAGATAAAGGTGGATGAGGGAGGGGGGCTGAGGGAGCGGGAGAGATTGGCAGGGAGTGGGAGAAAGACAGTTAAAGGGCTTATATAACAAGCTGAGGACAGAGAAATCCTATTAGGCACCAGCTAGGGCCCACTTATTGCCATGGGAACCATAACATTTTCACAGCCTTTTAACTTGAGAAAGTGTCTCAGGCCAGTTCTGCAGCCATACCTTCCCTATGCAGGCGTGCACACGCACACACACATGCATGCACACACTCGGTCTCTCCTCCCCACGCTTCCCTCTGCTCTGTCCTTCCATCCAGGACTCAGCTGGAGATTTGGCTCCCTGAGCATGGATTTCAAAAGAGGCTTTTAATAAAATTTCTAGTAAAGAAATAATTATGATAATCATATTAAGAGCATCAGCTGTCACATTCCTGCAAATGGGGAAGGTTGTCTTTGCAGAGAAGGAGCTGAGGTTGTTTTCTTTTCATGGTTTTGTTCTTTTTCTCAATCCCAGCCCCCTCCCCTCTATCCTGGGAAATGAAAACAGTGTGTTTTATGATGGATCGCCCGTTTCTTTGGTCACTGACCTTCTGGGTGAATTTCTGCTGAGCTTGGTGGAAAATGCTAGGCACATTTGTGGATCCCATATGTGGGTTGGGGGATGGGAGGGGGAGCTCACCCTAATCCTCCTCAGAAACAGAACAATAACAACACGGAGCGGGACGGAGTGATCCGGGCCAACAGGGAGGATCTGGACAGTGTTAGGGTTTTACAGATCGAAGGAGGAGGAAGGAACGAAAGAAACTGGTGACTTCAAGTTTCTGCGGAAATTTCTATCCCACCCCCTCACCCCAGCCCCCACCTCAAAGGTCACCGGGGCAGAACTGGAGCAGCAGGATAAACTCAAGGCAGCTTTTTAAAGGGACAGAATCAAAGGGCTCAACACTGAGAGATTTCCCAGCTGCTTCCCCACCCCTCCCATCCCGCACCAGCAACCCTGTGCTAAGGAGGGAAACAGCTGACTTATCTCCAGGAATGCTACACAACCTTCACTCCCCTCCTTTTGACATCAAGAGTGGGGATGTGATTAGGCCCTGGCTGGGCTACTGAATAAGACAGTGACCTGGGAGTCAGGAGACTGGGGTCCATCCCACCTTGGACACTGACCTTGGGCAAATCACATCACATCCCTGGCCTCCATTTCCTCTCCTGTCCTGTGCCCATTTAGCCACAGAGCTCTCTGGGGTAGGGCCAGTCTCTCCCAGAGTGTGGGTGCAGCACCTGGATATAATCTCTGCTAGTACCTCCACGGGCTACTGTGTAGTAAACAGCCATAAGTTATAACATTCATTTACAGGCATCATTTGCTTTGAATCTGTATAGGCTTCTCCTCCCTTGAGTGCCCTCCATGTCTCCTTGCCATGTCTCTGTGGCAGCTGTGCTGGCATGTGAAGGAAGGTGTGGGATCAGCCCCACTGTCGCTGATCCTGGAGTGACCAGAGAGGTGCAGCTGAAGCAGAGCCAGCCTTCATGCTCTGTGGGAGCGTATCTCTCTCTGGGCCCTTTTTCTCAGGGATTCCCCGGCTGTGATCCCCTACAGGTACCCCGCTGTGCCAGACTGTTGCTATGAAGGCTAAAGGCATACTGGGCTGCATTAGTAGGAGCATTGCCAGCAGATCAAGGGAAGTGATTATTCCCTTCTATTGGGCACTGGTGAGGCCACATCTGGAGTACTGCATCCAGTTTTGGGCCCCCCACTACAGAAAGGATGTGGACAAATTGGAGAGAGTTCAGTGGAGAGCAACAAAAATGATTATGGGGCTGGGGCACATGACTTCTTCTTTGAGTGCTTGTTCATGTTGATTCCAATCAGGGGTGTGCACATGCACAGTAGCCGGAAGATTTTTCCCCTAGCAGTATCCATCGGGTCAGTCTGGGTGTCCCCTGGAGTTGCACCTTCATGGCGCTCAATATAGAGCCCTATCAACCTGCCACCCACACAGGTCTTTCTTACCACCAGTGATGGTTAGCTGGAACTTTCCTGTGCTCGTCTCAACAAGCACATTTAGCAGTTTCTTACGTTGTTCTCTATTAATTTTCCATTGTTTGTTAATAGTTAGTAGTTCATTAGTGTTCGATAAGTTTCCTCTTGGGGGTGGGGAATCCCCTCCTACGCTCTCCCAGCACTGGGGTCTCCGGGCTTCAAACCCTGCAAAGCCTACGGCAAGTGTATGCCCAGAAGTGATCCTCACACCTCATGTCTAAAGTGTTTAGGCAAGGGCCATCAGAAGGATCATTGTGCCATTTTTAAGACTTTTCAGCCCAGGACTTTAAAAGATAGAGAGCAGTGCCTGAAGGTCCTGTTTATGGAAACAGCACTCTGCCCCCAGTCTGACCCTGGGTTGACAGACCCTGAGCCGATACATCATCCTCGGTGCGGAGCGCTCCAGCACTGTCAGCACGAGCACCGGTGCCGGGTAAGGATAAGGACTCATGGCACAGTTCTGGCTCCACTTGCGGCACACATGCCGCATGCAGGTACCATTTGCAATTGCCGGTGCCGCAAAAGACGAGGACAGAGAGAGGTCACTCTCCCCCAGCTAGGCCTAAGGAGCCTGCTGCTGTGAGACCCAAGTCAGGCCACACTAGTGCTGCTCCACCGGTGACGGTCATGCTAACTCCTGCCCACGTGGAAGGGCAGTTGAGTCCGGACCCTCCTCGCTTGCCAAGGCCGAGCCGGGAGCTGCACCTCCCTTCGACACCGGAGGTGTTTGAGGTGGCCCAAGAACTGCTTCACCTCATAGCACTGTTCTTTCCTCCCAGATGGGCTCCTTCAAGGGGAAAGCCCACTATGATAGCCTGCTGATCTCCGACCCAGGCACCCAGCACCGGAGCACACCCAGCAGCCACGTCGATCCTCAAGCCCTTGGCGCGAAAGCTTGGTGCCTAGAAGTGCCACTCCCCTGTGGTCATCATTTTCAAACACCTCGGAGTCAGGCTCCTATCGGTTCCGGAGGAGTAGAACCAGATGGTCCACGTCAACTCGGGACTGGCACCTTTACACAGCACCATGGCCCGTCCAATGGCAGCCCCTGGCACCATGGACATGTTGGACTCCTTGGGCTTTTCATGAAAGCCAAGGTTGCAGCCAAGGGTCTAATTCCAGGGTGATGTCACTGGCTTTGGCCTCATTTGTATCCCCGTCATTTGTATCCCTGTTGCAGCCAAGGGTCTAATTCCAGGGTGATGTCACTGGCTTTGGCACCAGCAGGATTGGGGGTAGGCTTATTACCACCCTTTGCTACCATCTCAATGCCTCTGGTGCAGCCAGGCCCTGGGGTCCCGGTGGCACCAGCACTGGCAGGGACTCTGGCACCAACGGCGATTCTGGCACCAGCAGAAATTCTGACGTCGAGGATGATATGGACGCTGATGGCACTTTTGGCACTGAGGGGCACAACACCATCTGGGTCGGCACTGGCCCAAAAAACCCAGGTGCCACGGGACCCCTTGGGTGTGGAAGGAAGGGAGCAGCCACCCCTCGTGGGGTCTTTTCCTCGTCCTCTCTAGATGAGGCATTGACGGGCACGATGACAGCCCCAGCCTTGGAGGACAATGGGGTTCTGCAGCAATTTTGTAGAGGGTTTCCCAGGGCCTGGGCATTTAGGCGGAGGAGGTAGTGGAGGATGCAGATCCAGTGGTGGATCTTCTCGCTCCGGACCTGCACGGATTGCCCTGCCCCTCATAAAGACCATCTCTGATACCACAAAAACTCTGTGGCAGACCCCAGCCTCGTTGCTCCCTACGGTAAAGTGCAACGAAAGATGCTACTTTGTGCCATCCAAGTGTCCCAAGCATTTATACACGCATCACACACCTGACTCTCTTGTGGTCAATGCTGCCAACCAACACAAGTGTCAGGACTTCCAGGGACCCTCCCCAAAGAATAGGGAGGCAAAAAGGCTTGGCCTTTATGGGAGAAAGTTCTACTCCACTGGAGGCTTACAGCTCCGCATTTCAGATCAGCAGGCCATTGTCAGTAGGTACTGCTTCAACACATCCGGGGCAATGGCTAAATTTGCACAGCTGTTGCTGCAGGACTCCCATGCCGATTTTTCAGCTCTCGTGGAGGAAGAGAAGCTCATTTCCAGGACTTTGCTGCAATCCGCACTGGCTCATGTCATGGCCTATGAGGAGAGGCTCCTGGCTCCAAATCCTGGGCTTGCCATATGAGGTCCAACAAACTATTCAGGACCTCCCCTTCGAGGGTTTGGCTCTATTTTCTGAAAAGATGGATAAAAGCTGCATAGCCTGAAGGATTCGAGAGTCACTCTCAAATCATTGGGCCTCCATTCGCCCGCTACACTACATAAACATTTTAGGCCGCAACCTCCTCCATGGTTCTGTCAGCCACAGAACCATCAGGACGGCTCACAGAGGAGGAATAGAAATGGCAGAAGGCGACCGCACTGTCCTCAGGCCAGGGCTCTGGCCAATCTAAACCACCCTCTGGATTGAAACAAGTCGAGGACGGTGCACCAGATCCTCAACTGTATCCACCCCGCCTTACCTTCTCATCCCAACTGTCCTCTTTCTACCATGCATGGTTCCATATCACCTTGGACCTTTGGGTGCTCCACACGGTAGAGAGAGGATACTCCATCCAATTCTGTGCCCACCCACCCTTCCATCCACCTTCCCCGTCCTTCTTCAGGGACCCTTCTCACGAGCAGCTCCTTATCCAGCAGGTGCAGTCACTCCTATCTCGAGGGGCAATGGAGGAGGTTCCTCAGGAGCACAGGGGCGAGGGCTTTTACTCCCGGTATTTCCTTATACCAAAAGCCAAAGGCAGCCTCAGGCCCATCCTGGACCTGCGAGAACTCAACAAGTTTGTGAAGAAACTCGAGTTCCGTATGGTCTCTTTGGCCTCAATCATCCCATCACTGGGCCCAGCAGACTGGTATGCTGCCCTTAACTTGAAGGACGCATATTTCCATATCACAATCACTCAGCCCCACAGGAAGTACTTAAGATTTGTGGTGAATGGTACCACTACCAGTTTACAGTCCTTCCGTTTGGCCTGTCAGCAGCACCTAAAGTCTTCACCAAGTACATGGCAGTCATTGCCGCGTTCTTGCATAGTCACCAGGTACAGGTGTTTCCATTCCTCAACGACTAGCTGATGAAGGGCCACTTCAGGATGCAAGTGGAGGCTCAGGTCAGATTCATCGGAGCCACCTTTGACAACCTGGGTCTCCCTCTAAATGAAGCAAAATCGACTCTGTCCCCTGTCCACACGATAGAGTTTATAGGAGCAGTATTGGAATCAACCCAAGCCAGGGCATACCTGGAAGAAGCAAGGTTTCAGGCCCTGATAGATATCCGACAGTTTCCCACCACCACAGCAAGAAACAGCATGGCTGCCTGTAGCTAGGTGGTGCAGCATGCCAGACTCAGCCTTCGACCTCTTCAGTCGTGGCTTGTGTCAGTGTATCACCAAGCCTGGGACAGCTTGGACAGGACTGTGACCCTTGCCTCACCTGGTCATCGACTCCCTTATCTGGTGTCTTGACCCTCAGGAAGTGTGCTCAGGGGTCCCCTTCACCAGTCCGCAGCCATCTCTCTCGCTAGTGATGGATGCATCAGACTTGGGTGGGGAGCTCATCTGGGAGACAGCAGGACTCAGGGTCTCTGGTCTCAGGCAGATCTGGCTCTCCACATCAAAGTCAGAGAGCTGAGAGTGGTGCGCCTAGCATGCCAGACCTTCTGTGCACACTTAACGGGACATTGTGTATCAGTTATGATGGACAATACAACAGCAATGTTCTATACCAACAAACAGGGGGGGTGCATGCTCCTTTCCCCTGTGGCAGAAAGCCATGCTGTGGAACTACTGTGTGAAACATACAATACACCTGCAAGTGTCGTACCTCCTCAGGGTACAGAACGAGCTGGAGGACCACCTCAGCAGGTCATTTCACACCCAGGAGTGATCCCTTCACACCGACGTCGCGTTCTCAATCTTCCTGAGGTGGGGCTTTCCCCAGATAGACCTATTCACCACGCAACACAATAGGAAGTGCCATCAGTTCTGCTCCTTCCAGAATCAAAGCCCCGGCTCCAGAGTGGACGCATTCCTCCTTCCATGGGGAGGCCATCTCCTTTACGCCCATACCACTCATTCACAAGGTACTCCTCAAGATCCGGAGGGAACGAGCTCAGGTCATATTGATAGCACCAGCCTGGCCCCATCAGCAGTGGTACACATCTCTCCTAGATGTGTCTGTGGAAGCCCCAATCACCCTTCCACTCTTCCCGGACCTTCTGACACAAGATCACGGTTGTCTTCAACATCCAAACCTCTAGTCGCTTGACCTCACGGCATGGAAGCTCCATGGTTGAACCCGATGGAGCTTTCCTGTTCAGACCAGGTTAGACAAGTCCTCCTTGGTAGCAGGAAACCCTCTACAAGAGCCACCTACCTTGCCAAGTGGAAGAGGTCTGTGTAGTGCCATTCATCCCTGACGCCAGCTTCAGTGTTGCTCATTCTGGACTACTTGCTCCATCTGAAGCAGCAGGGGCTTTCATTCTCTTCAATAAGGGTGCACTTAGATGCCATATCGGCCTGCCATCTGAGTGCAGGGGGCCGCTCTGTTTTTGCTAACCCTATGGTCAGATGATTTTTAAAAGGACTCGACAGACTGTACCCTCAAGTCCGTCAGCCTGTCCCCACCTGGGACCTCAACCTGGTCCTCTCTAGGCTCATGGGACTACCATTTGAACCATTGGTGACATGCTCCCTGCTCTACCTCTCTTACAAGGTGGTGTTCCTGGTAGCAATAACCTCAGCTAGGAGGGTGTCTGAGCTCAGGGCCCTAACATCAGAGCCTCCCTATAACATGTTCTATAAGGACAAGGTTCAGCTCAGGCCTCATCCTGCTTTCCTCCCAAAGGTTGTGTCGCAGTTTCACATTAACCAGTACGTCTTTCTCCTGGTATTCTACCCTAAGCCTCATTCCAGCGGTAGGGAACAGAGACTGCACTCTCTGGATGTCTGCAGGGTGCTAGCCTTCAACATGGAGAGGACAAAGCCATTCAGAAAGTCGGTCCAGTTATTTGTGGCAGTGGCAGACAGAAAGAAAGGTCAGCTGGTATCGTCACAATGCATCTCATCATGGATAGTGTCCTGTATTCGTGAGTGCTACAACCTGGCGGTGGTTCCTGCACCTCCAGTCACTGTGCACTTCACCAGGGTGCAGGCTTCATCAACAGTGTTCCTGGCTCAGGTTCCCCCTCAGGAAATCTGCAGAGCAGCGACATGGTCCTCCATCCATACTTTCACCACGCACTATGCAATTACAACAAGCAGTGCTCCAATCAGTGGAAGACTCCGACACTACAACCTAAACTTGGGCTTGTGAGTCACCTGATTGAAATCGACATGAACAAGCACTCAAAGAAGAAAAAATGGTTACTCACCTTCTCGTAACTGTTGTTCTTCAAGGCTCTATATTGAGTGCCATGAAGGCGCGACTCCAGGGGGCGCCCAGGTTGACCGACAGATGCTGCTAGGGGAAAAAATCTGGCTACCGTGAACATGCGCGCACACATACCTGATTGGAATGAACATGAACAACACATCTCAAAGAACAACGGTTATGAGAAGGTGAGTAACCGTTTTTTATGAGGAAAGGATGAGGGAACTGAGCTTATTTAGTCTGCAGAAGAGAAGAATGAGGGGGGATTTGATAGCAGCCTTCAACTACCTGAAGGGGGATTCCAGAGAGGATGGAGCTAGGCTGTTCTCAGTGGTGGCAGATGACAGAACAAGGAACAATGGTCTCAGGAACAAAGGTCTAGGTTGGATATTAGGAAAAAACTATTTCACTAGAAGGGTGGTGAAGCACTGGAATGGGTTACCTAGGGAGGTGGTGGAATCTCCATCCTTAGAGGTTTTTAAGGCCTGGCTTGACAAAGCCCTGGCTGGGGTGATTTATTTGGGGTTGGTCCTGCTTTGAGCAGGGGGTTGGGCTAGATGACCTCCTGAGGTCTCTTCCAACCCTAATCTTCTATGATTCTATGACTGCAGGGCTCACAGGCTGGGCTGGCAGCACATTGCACTGTACAAGAACTTCATATTCCTCCTTCGCATGCTGGACTGTGAAACAAGCCAGCTTCTCAAGGTGTCGTGTGCCTCCTGCCAGGGTGGAGTGCCCAGTCTCCTCACAACTGTAATGAGGAGCCGAGCCCCCTTTGCATAGGGCATCATGCTGGCTTAGCAGCTGCCACCTTCTCCTGGGAGGATGGACTGGCATTCACCCATCCTAGATGACAAGCAGCAGACACCTGCTCTGCTCCTCTAGTAGGGCAGAGATCCTGGGTGAGAGAGTACAGGGCTTGCATGTCTGTGTCTCTCCCTAAAAGGCAGAACAGTTAAGGACACAGCTGCGGCTTGCAGAGAATGCCCGCGATGGGGCGCATAAGGACCTGATCGAGTTGCACCGCAGGTTGCAGGATGGTGAGGAGGCCCAAGAGCTCCAGTGCAAGGAGATGTTGGAAACCCGCAGGGCTTTGGGGGATGAGACCAGGGAGAAGGAAATAATGCAGAAATCCAATACTGAGCTGCGGGCCGCTATCAAGAAGACGGAGAGCGAAAGGATCAGGTAGGCTCTGTGCAGTGCCAGGTGGGCTGCACCCTGCAGCAGACATTACTTGGCACTGTGATAGCCTGCCAAGGTTCAGGCATGGCCAGGGACTGTTAGCTGGGTCCCAGATCCAAACCAGAGAGTGCGGAACAGTAACAAAGACCTACCAGCACGTCCACCCAAAGCCATTCCAGCTAAGCACTGGGCACTGTATTCAGGCCTGGGATGTACAAGTAGGGCTGGACCCTGCAGCCATTCCAGGCAGGCCCAAGGCAGCTCCTTCTCCCATAGCTCAGTCCAGAGCCAGTCCATCAATCCGTGTCTCTTTCCCCTCAGAACTGGGCCCAGAGGCCAGTCCAAGGGCTGCACTAGGGCTCCTTGGAATGGGCACAGTAGCATGGTCTGACCTCTTCTCTGCCGACTGTCCACTTCCAGCTGGGTTCTTTCCCTTCTATACCTGTCCCCAAACAGCCCAGAGCTCCCACTCACATCGTGACGACAGCTGGGTGACTGTGTGGGTGGTGCCCCCTGCATAGATGTCCGTTCACAGCCCTTCAGCATTCCCCGGCCAGGAGTGACCATGCATGTCTGCTTCAGCTTGAAGAGAGGCCTAGAGGAGAAGGAGCAGAAAATCACCATGCTGGAGGAAGCCAAGGCTGCAGCTCAGAAAGAGGCAGGAGAGCTGAGGGCAAGCCTGCGGGAGGTGGAGAAGTCTCGGATGGAGGCCCGCCGGGAGCTGCAGGAACTGCGCAGACAGGTGAGTGCGGATGGCTCCTGAACACATGCAAGCCAGGTCCCTTTGCTGTGTCCCAGCTCTATCAGCCTTCGCAGACACATTCTGCCCTAGCACCTCCCATCCTGGGAACTTCCTGACTGCGATGCCTCCTTGTAGGCTGCACATTTGGGCCACTGAATGGGTCCCATTCCCCTGTGGCAACCTGGAACAATGCCAGGGTGAGAGGGAGAGCTGGTAGCAGCCAGAGGTCCCCTGGGGCATGTCCAGAAATGCATCTCCCAGGGAGGTGAGGGGCATCTCCCTCCCAAATGGAGACCATGCCCTGAAAACCCGTTGGGTAGAAAACTGGAGGATTCAAAGCTCCCCAGCCTCAATCCCCCAGTGGAAGGAGCAGAATGGCCTGGTCTCATTCCCCATCCCACTGGCCACTGGAGTGGCTGACTGCAGAGGGGAGTGTGCTACACAGGCCTGCTCCCCGTGGGCTGCGCCAGCACCGGCCCAGGCCTGGCGGGCTGGGGAAAGGCGGCTGGAGAAGCCTGCTAGTGACCCAGAGTGAATCAGTGGGTCCCACACTGGTACTTTCCACCCTGTGGCACTTGGCCAGTTCCTCTGGGGAGGTGGAGGAACCAGACTAAGAAGGGACCATTTTGTCCATTCTCAAGCAGTCATTGCCGGGGGGAGCCAGTCCTGCCCCCGGTCAGGGCAGCAGCAGTGTCTTGCTGTGGCCAAGATGGGCCTGCCAGCATGGCCCATGTGCCCCAGGCTGAGCCCAGGGGCAACCTGAAGAACCTCCCTTTGCAGGTGAAGACGCTGGGGGGAGAAAACAGCAAGAAGGGCAAAGAGGTGAGCGAGTTGCAGGCCTGTCTCCTGCAGCAGGAGCAGCGCGAGCAGCAGTGCCACAGGCAGTCCCTGGAGCTGAAGCAGAGGATCGCGGAGATGGAGGGCGGCCAGAAATGTGTTCGCAAAGAGGTGAACCAAGTAGGCACTGGAGCTGGCAGGCAGAGGCGGGCAGCGAGGGATGGAGGCAGAGGGAAAGGATGGTCTGGAGGGAAGGGTACTAGGCCATTGCTAGATTAGCCTAGCTAGGCCCACCAGGCTCCTGTGGGAGACCTCAAGGATTGTTCCCCTCCCCTCCTGTTCCTTCCCATCACCCTGAGGATGCAGCCCTGCAGCAGAGGGGAGAGCACTCCACTCCCTGGCGCCTGCCTGTAAACACTGCCCTGGGGTTTCCAGAGAGTGACCCAGGGCTCTCTCTGCCAGTGGGGTGGAGAGCAGCAGCTCAGCCTGGGAGCCTGTGCACTGAACTATGGGCGCTTCCGTGCTGCAGAGAGGGCTGTCTTTGGGTCTGCGCTGGGAGGCTCCTGGCCGCTGCGCGTGTGTCGAGGCACTGCACACCTCCTGTCCCTCCCAGCATGCTCTCTGGTGGACCATATGCAGACAGGGCCTGGCAGTTACTCTGCAGTGCACTCCCTTCCAGGTACTGAGCCTGCAGAGGAAGCTGGTGGAGGTGGAGTGGGAAGCCAGAGCCAGAGAAAAGGGGCTGGTCGACAGCCTGGGCGAGAGTCACAGCAAGGAGAAGAAGCTCCAGAATGAGCTCCACAACATGGAGCTGAAGCTGCAGCAGGCCGGCAGGGCCAGCAAAGGCCTCCAGCTGCGCCTCAGCACCACCGAGGGGCGCCTCCACGGCCTAGAGACAGAGCTGGCCAAGATGGAGGCTGCCAAGAGGGAGGTGGAGTCGAAACTGGGGGTGCTGCACTCTGCCGTGAGCCGGACACTAGGGCTGGGCGGGCAGAGCCCCTTGCCACAGAGACCCTGCTCCCCTAGCAAAGGTCAGCAGCCTTGGAGGGCTCAACTGGGTTTGGGAGACAGACTGAGTAGGCCAGATCACAGAGTGCCGTGTGTGTGACTGCACTGGAGCACTGATTACACGTCACAAGAGTTGCATGACATTTCCCCAGTGCTCGAGGGTGAGGGCTGCTCTGGCAGGGCCTGTGTGCAAGCCACAGCAGCCTTCCAGAGTGGGGGAAGATACATCACAGAGGGAAAGGTATTGCCATGGCAGCAGTCATTTTGAAGGGGAAGAGGGTGGCATTTGAAGGAAACTGAGTGTCAGGCAGCTATCCCTGCCCTGAAAGGGGAAAGCCACAGAGGGGGCAGGGGTCTGCCTGGAAATCCAACCTAGCAGCAATTTCTGGAGGGGGTGGCTCTGAATCCGTGCATGGATTATCCCCAGGCTGGGCTGAGGAGAGAACAGCAGTTCTCTGGCAGTAGTGACACGCTTGTCTTGTACCAGATAATCCATATTGCCCCCTGCCATTATCACATGGGGATGGTCTAGGCCTGCCTGACGGTCCCTCTCCTAACACACCCACCTGGCATTCAGGCTTTGAGCTCTTCTCTGCCACCACAGGAACTGACAGGCAACGGACTCCAGCCTCCTGCACAGGCTCTCCAGAGAGGAGCCGTTCCCGCTCCCCCTTTGGTTGGGCTTCCCCTCTCCAAGGGGAGCACAGTGCCAGCGAGCCTGACCTGGATGGAGTCCGAGAAGCCTTGAGAGACTTCCTGCAGGAGCTGCGAGACACTCAGAGAGAGAGGGTAAGAGCATCTCCTTTCTGCTCCCATGGTGTCCCCTTGCCCCTCCACAAACTCCCCACTCTCTGCTCGCACCCAGGCCATTCTCAGCGTCATGATCACTGGCAACACTGACAGAGATTTGCCCCCACATTGGATTGCTGAATTAACTGAAACAAATGTACAAGGACTTTAAAGTCCTGTCTCTTTCAGTTAGAATGAGTGCAGAAACGAGGCCTTGGTACTGTCCAGGACTGCATGCAAGCATTACCCTTATTCATTTAATCTCTCAATGTAGCTTCCAATCTGCGCCTTGTCCGCCAAGCTCTAACCAGCAGAGTCACTCCCAGCACTGCAGCATGAGACACAGCCCTCGGCAGGGCTGGCCTTATCATGAGGCGAACTGAGGTGGCCACCTCAGGTGCCAGATTATGTGGGGGGGGAGGTGGGCACCGCTAGGACCCAGAGAGTAGAAAATTGTGTCTGCTGCTGGTGCATATGTATTCTCTCTGCTCTAGATGCACAGAGATGGTGGAGTGCTGTGCTGGAGGAAGGAGGGTACAAGAGACATAACAGGCAGGCAGGAGAAAAGGTGAAAGGGAATAACAGAAAGCAGCAGGAGCTGCAGGGAGAAGGAGGAGGAGGAGCCTCTTATGTATCTCTCTAGCACCCCCAGGAGCCTGGACTGATTAACACCAGCTTCTCAGGGAGCTTCCTGTTTCCTGCTGCTTCTCTGAACCCACTTGAGGAGAACAGGCAGTCAACTGAAGTAGTAGGAGCCAGTTTGGCCCTTAAGACGCTGATATCTTCCCTCACTCAGGCCCTGCTACCAGCCTGCTTATTTGTCCCCTTCAATTGAGTGTTGAGAGCTATAGCTGGCACAGAACAGCAGTCATGAGTGAAAGAAGAAAATGCCCATCTGGGGCAGCATTCAGAAAAAGCAAGCAAGCAAAGTAAGCTTTTCTATCTAAGCAGGAAGGAGCTCTCCTGAGATACATAGACACAAATGTTCACGGTGAGCCTTCTGGCCCCAGTGAGGATGTGAGTGGTGAGGAGATGCCTGATCTTCCAGTTAGTCAGAGTGCAGGTGACCTGGAAGCTACTGCAGCATCCATATCTCCATCTCAAATGGATGTAACCAGGCACATTCCTGAAGAAAAGTGTAGATCAGAGAAGAGTGTGGTGGAGGCACAAGAAACAGCTGCTGCCGAGTTTAGTTCCTTAAGTCTAGATGATGCAGGACTGTGGACGCACTTGAGCAGTAGCCTGAGGGACTTCCTTGTACTGCCTGGGCCACAGCAAGTGAAAGACTTCATGTTCCCCAAAGACAATGAAAATAGACGTTTCCATCCAACACATTACTGCCGTGAAATCCCCAATGGTGACAAAGTGGAGAAGCCATGGCTTATGTACTCAAAAACCCAGAATTCCACATACTGTTTTTGTTGCAAAATCTTCCAGTCTAATGTTCTAGCCACATTGGGTTCTACAGGAACAAAGGACTGGAAAAATCTGGCAACAAATCAGCAGAGAGCATTCCATAGGTGGAAAGAGCTTGAGATTAGACTAAGGTTAAAGGCCACCGCAGATGATCAGCATCAAGAGAAGATTGCATCAGAGTCTCTTTACTGGCAAAATGTTCTGAAAAGGCTTATTGCCATTGTGAGAATGCTTGCTACCCAAAACCTAGCACTGCGTGGCACTTCAGATCAGCTGTATGTGCCAAACAATGGAAACTTCCTTAAAACTGTGGAGCTGATGTCTGAGTTTGATGCTGTACTCCAGGAGCATCTAAGAAGAGTCTGTGATGGTGCCCCCCATAAGGCTTTATTATATATATATATATATATGACATAACTGGAATATGTTTTATGCTACTGTCATAAATATAAAGGGATGGGTAAACCCCTTTAAAATCCCTCCTGGCCAGAGGAAAAATCCTCTTACCTGTAAAGGGTTAAGAAGCTAAAGGTAACCTCGCTGGCACCTGACCAAAATGACCAATGAGGAGACAAGATACTTTTAAAAGCTGGGAGGAGGGAGAAAAACAAAGGGTCTGTGTCTGTCTGTATGCTGCTTTTGCCGGAAACAGAACAGGAATGGAGTCTTAGAACTTTTAGTAAGTAATCTAGCTAGGTATGTGTTAGATTATGATTTCTTTAAATGGCTGAGAAAAGAGCTGTGCTGAATAGAATGACTGTTCCTGTCTGTGTGTCTTTTTTGTAACTTAAGGTTTTGCCTAGAGGAATTCTCTATGTTTTGAATCTAATTACCCTGTAAGGTATCTACCATTCTGATTTTACAGAGGTGATTCCTTTACTTGTATTAAAAGTCTTCTTGAAAGAAAACTGAATGCTTTTTCATTGTTCTAAGATCCAAGGGTTTGGGTCTGTGGTCACCTATGCAAATTGGTGAGAATTTTTACCAAACCTTCCCCAAGAAGTGGTGTGCAAGGGTTGGGAGGATTTGGGGGGGAAAGACGTGTCCAAACCACGTTTCCCAGTAAACCCAGATAAAGTTTGGTGGTGGCAGTGGAAATCCAAGGGTAAAATAATTTTGTACCTCTGGGAAGTTTTAACCTAAGCTGGTAAAAGTAAGCTTAGGAGGTTTTCATGCAGGTCCCCACATCTATACCCTAGAGTTCAGAGTGGAGAAGGAACCTTGACAGCTACATATGCCATGTAACATATCTCTATGAAGGTTATGATCTACTGAATCTATTCATCCTATTTGTATGCAAGTATCATTTTTGTCTTGGAAGTTATGAATATTGCCTGTATACTGGCTTGATTTCTAAGCAGCCTTAGTAGAGCATTTGGTCAGCTTTTTGAGAGAGGGATGTGCAAATTAGGTGTCCAGTCAAGAAGCACTTAGCGAACAATGGATCTTGTAAGGCTCCAATCCACATAAGAAGTCTACCTGAGGACGTTCAAGGAAGCATATGAACCATGCCTGCTAACTGTAAGTTCTGAATCATGCATGGACATGTGACTTGCCCATGTGACTCCAAAACTCCATCTTGGAGCTGGGCTTTGCATAGGAGAGAGGAGGGGGTCTCCACCCACAAGAGAGAGTCTATTTAAACCCCAGGAAGACCCATCCATTTTGTCTTCAGCTGGCTAAGGAGACAGCCTCTCCACTCCCAAGGATACCTGAAAGAAACTGGAACAAAGGATAGTAACTACAGGGGGTGTAAGTGATTGCTGCACCTAGACTAGAAGGAGTCTAGTCTGTAAAAGGAAGCTTACTGGAATTCCTCTAAGGGTGAGGTTTTTATCTACATTCAGAGTTTTTACTGTATTAGACATAGATTTGTGTGTTCTATTTTATTTTGCTTGGTAATTCGCTTTGTTCTGCCTGTTACTACCTGGAACCACTTAAATCCTACTTTCTGTATTTAATAAAATCACTTTTTACTTATTAATTAACCCAGAGTATGTATTAATACCTGGGGGGGCAAACAGCTGTGCATATCTCTCGATCAGTGTTATAGAGGGCGAACAATTTATGAGTTTACCTGTATAAGCTTTATACAGGGTAAAACGGATTTATTAGGGGTTTGGACCCCATTGGGAGTTGGGCATCTGAGTGTTAAAGGCAGGAACACTTCTTGAGTTTCTTTCAGTTAAGTCTGCAGCTCTGTGGCACGTGGATTAGACCCTGGGTCTATGTTGGAGCAGACGGATGTGTCTGGCTCAGCAAGACAGGGTGCTGGAGTCCCAAGCTGGCAGGGAAAGCAGGGGCAGAAGTAGCCTTGGCACATCAACTGGCAGTCCCAAGGGGGTTTCTGTGATCCAACCCATCACCACTCAAGAAATGAGAAAAGGAGGACTTGTGGCACCTTAGAGACTCTTTTCTTTTTGTGGATACAGACTAACACGGCTGCTACTTTGAAACCACTCAAGAAATGTACACACACCACTACCTTGGAAAAACAATTCAAAATGAGATCATACAGTTACTGGCAACAAAAGTCAAACAGAAGATTGTGGCAGATCTGAAGTCAGCAAGATATTACTCTGTTATTCTGGACTGCACACCTGACATCAGCCATACGAAACAAATTACTTTAATCGTGCATTTTGTAACAACAACAGAACCTAGTGAAAATGTCCCTGCAATGGTGACTGTCAGAGAGCATTTTCTAGAATTTATTGACATTGATGATACTACTGGAGCTGGTATGACAAATGTACTTCTTAAAAAGCTGGAAGATACGGGAATTGCGATAGCTGACATGAGAGGTCAGGGCTACGATAATGGTGCCAACATGAGAGGAAAGAACAGAGGAGTGCAGACATGGATCCAAGAGTTAAACCCTCGAGCTTTTTTTGTCCCATGCAATTATCATTCATTGAACTTGGTGGTCAGTGATGCAGCATCAGTTTCTAGTGAGGCTGCTGAATTTTTTAATATAATTCAAAGTGTGGCAAAATGCCGATACGATTATGATGGGTCCCGTGCTTCCTCTTCTTGGGGGGGGGCGGGGTTCAGGGCGCAGTTTCCTGCCCCTGAACTAGGGTATTTACTGTCCCACTAGTAACCCAGTAATGTACTCAATGCTTTTTTTGCCTCTGTCTTCACGAACAGGGTCAGCTCCCAGACTACTGCACTGGGTAGCACAGCATGGGGAGGAGGTGACCAGCCCTCTGTGGAGAAAGAAGTGGTTCGGGACTATTTAGAAAAGCTGGATGAGCACAAGTCCATGGGGCCGGATGCGCGACATCCGAGAGTGCTAAAGGAGTTGGCGGATGTGATTGCAGAGCCATTGGCCATTATCTTTGAAAACTCATGGCGATTGGGGGAAGTCCCAGATGACTGGAAAAAGGCTAATGTAGTGCCCATCTTTAAAAAAGGGAAGGAGGAGGATCCTAGGAACTACAGGCCAGTCAGCCTCACCTCAGTCCCTGGAAAAATCATGGAGCAGGTCCTCAAGGAATCAATCCTGAAGCACTTACACGAGAGGAAAGTGATCAGGAACAGTCAGCATGGATTCACCAAGGACAAGTCATGCCTGACTAATC